GGTTCTGTTTGGGTTTTGTTTTCAATGTAGCTTTTTAAACGTGCTTTGAGATCACGGGAAACGTGCGTGCGCTGAACCAGAGTTAAAGGGCAGGGCCTGGAATGGCGCTGCAAAGCATTCCTCCCTCTGCAGCCATGTCGGAGTTCCGGTGGAACGCCGCCATTTGGGAATACGGCATCTCTCACAGGCCGCCTGTTCGGGCATCAGACGAGGGCAGCGGCGCCTCGCCGAGAGGTGAGCTGCAGGAATCCCTTCTCCTGGGGTCAGGGTGGTGGGTTTCAGCTGTGATTGCCCCCGTAGCTTTCAGGAACTTGGGCTGAACTTGCTTTTGTCCGGTGGCGGCATGGGAAATCAAACCAAAACTGGGGAGAAGGATTCAGGACTGTTTGGTTACGTGTCCCCTGGGAACAACGCTTGTCTGCAGTGCGGTGACAAATGGGTGCCCCCCCGCCCCCCCACTTCCAGAGCACAGGCTCACCTGCACGACGTGGGGCTGCCAGGTGGGAGAGGGGCCAAGCATCCAATTATGAAAGCTGGTAGGGGTTTTTGGAACCCCTGAAACGGAAGTTTTCATGAACTCTGAGATTGCTAGGGCAGCTAGCACCAAAGGGGGGGCCAGGCAGTGCCCCCCAGACCAGTCTGAGCTGGTTTTTGCCTGTCTTGAATCGGGGGAGAATGCTGGCAAGAGAGTTTCAGGCTAAGGTAAGCCTAGGGTTTGGTCTCCGGTCAGTAGGGTTTCTTCCATTTTTGCATGCAAAGGTGTTTGTGGTGCCTCCCCATGGGTGGAGAGAGCGGCCTCTTGCTCCGTTTGTGGAGGTGACAGAAGCAACTCGGCCTGTAAGTAGGCATCATCAATGGCGATCGCATCCAGCCTGCAGCCCTCTGCTCCTGGGCTTGTTGATGGGGGTGCGGGAGAGGGGATGGAGAATCTTGTATTGACGAGTCAGCGCCGTGACTTCCTCTTGTGTTTTTTGAATGCTTTTACAGACAGACCCAAGTCCTTCACTGATGTTAGCAGGCTTACGCTGCCAGCAGCAGCTGTGAATTTAAGGGAAATAGTTTGAAATGGTTTTATTTTAATGAAAGAAATAGAGGTGAAATGTTTGCCGTTAACGTATTAGAGAAGTCTAAAGGTGGGGCTTTGGAAACAATCTTTACTTGCATCAGGTAACTACTGCAGGTTTCATGGTCGTGTTCCCTGGGGATACCGAACGGTGACTCATAATTCCCAGAAGAGAGGCCAGTTCTTGGGCTGGTGGCATCAGCGCTTGTACTGGACCAAAGCTGGAGACGAGAAAGGGGCCTGCGCGTTACTGAGCGCGGAATGCCCCAGGCGCCGAGCGTCGCCGAGAGGGTGAACGTCACAGCCAGGGACGAGCCCTCGCACAAGGCTTAGCACGCAAGCGCCAGCCAGCTTAACGTGGAGAGAAGGCGTAAGGCAGCTTGGGGTACCTCTGGCAAGTCGTTCGGCTCCCGACAGTGTGAAACGGGCACAGCGCTCAGGAGGAGCGAGGCTAACTTCATTACGGTTGTGCAGCACATAGTTAATGGCAACGACGTCTCTCCCAGACCTTCAGACGCTGCCGTTCCAGTCAGGGATGTTTTGTGCTGCCTGCGCGGCAGCAGTAGAAATCGCAACACAACCTAACCCAGCCCCCGGCTCCCTCTGGGAGCAACAGCGGCAGCCCCAGCATAGCCTCCGAGTTGCTGAGCTGCGCAGCACGCTGAATCAGGGAGTTAAGCCTCATTAAATAAAGCTTTATTTATTCCCTGGGTTAGCTTTTCAGTCCAGTCAATTCCGAGCCCCACAGGCACTAGTGGGCTGTGGCCAGGAGCAGGGGCACAACCGAGGGGAAGGGTGTGTGGGATTGACTTTTGCTCAGGTTTTTTTCCCCAGTCACAGCCATAGTGTATTTCAGGATGGTCCAAGCTCCTTTCCTGGGAGAAGCAGAAGACAATTACGCTATTTCCTGCCTCACGAGGTCAGTGGCTGTTGTGCAGTGTGTTGAGCAGTGCCCCCCCACCTATTCTGGGGGCATTAGGTGACACACTGGAAAGAAAGGTTAAAAAAACACCTGTAATCCGTGTTTTTCAGTAGTATTACAATAATTTATAAAGGCATCAAAACAAATTCAACCTCTATTAACAAGCTGATCTTGGAAACAATACTTAAATTACTAGGGCGTTTTGGTGAAGCTGAAGGCACCTTGAAATGAGACAGAGTAATAGGAAAAATCATGCTGCCTTCTGCAGCATCCTCTTCACTTAAACTGTCTGACTACCAGCTGCATGGCTTTTTCCTACTGTACTTTATACAAGCGGTATTTGGTGCTACTCAGTAGAAATCGCCCCCTCTATCTACATAAATATTTACTGTTCCATACCAGGCCCAGACTCTGCACACTGATTGGAAAGAGACAAAAATTGCTTCAGGTTTTTCTGTTCCTTTGTGTCAGACGGAGGTCGAGCGACTAGTTTTCCGCAGGCACCTTTCCGACTTTTGAATTATTTTGCTCTCGGCAT